CTATTTACAAGCACAAGTAACTTGAGTCTAAAAGAATAAAGTTTTCTACATGGAGGAACAAAAGGATGATTAACCTGCAATTTGAACTTTGAACTTGCTGCTATGAAGCCTAATGGAGTTCTCTTTGTATTTGTAAAAAAAATTAAATATTCGTTGCTTTTGGGAGATATTAGCAGACTAGCGGACAAGATAAAGAATTGGGAAAGACCATGAATTAGGGCTTCAATCAATAAAAAAGATCTTGACTTTTAAATTTAATACTTTTGAGTTCCTTTTTAAACCTTTTGAGTAATTACCAAACTGACTTTTGAGAATTTAGGTATTATATGAAGGAGTTATTCAACAAATTTTGTTTTAATTTGAAAAAGTCTCTGGGGCTTATACTGGACGTACACCTCTTGGGAGTTTCGCCCCATGCCATCGCCCCGGGACTCACCCCGAAAACGCCTTTTAAAACACTGGATACAAGTGAATGATTTCCAATTTTATTTCTAAATTAACGTGTAGCAAGAACCAAACTAGAAAGAAGGTTTTTTATCTTATAGGTAACGGGTAACCTAAAACTAATAAAGAAAGTGCACGAAAACAACAAAAGCTAGCCCTATGTATAACAGGAGGAGACAGGAACCTGAAGTTCATAATCCAGTTAAGAGCGATCCTCTTGTGTTCAAACAAATTACCAATGTATAGGACATGGGATCAAAAAGAGAGAGGGCTGATATTCCAGGTTCAGGCTGAAATGTTAAGTTGATTAACTTAGGAATTTCCCTCGTCCAGTTATACCAAGTAGATAGTAGTCAAACATATCTTTCTATAATTAGATACCATCATATAGATTTTCTTAATTGGTTTCGTAACTAGGCAGAAAAGGTCCATCTCAAACTCTGTTAACATTTCTCTATTTCAATTTTCTGCAAACTTTTTAGTTTTCCAAGAGCAATTTTAGCTATTTGTTTACGAATCCTCGCTAGTTATTTGAAATGGATTCATCAATTGGGATCTCTCGACCCTCACATGTGGAATAATAAAGGTCCCATATTCGAACCCTGAGAATGAAAAACTATTTGATGAATAGTAATTTACCCCTTCAATGAGTCGACGGAGCAAATCCGTAGCAGTTGAGCCAGTGGCTTCAAATGCCAAATAGTTAAACCAAAAAAGGTTAAAAGAGGGAAATGGATGACGTCTCAGGAGATGAAAAAGCTGTAGGAAGCACATCCATATCAATGATATTTGGTCTCATAGATGGTGCTATTGTTATACCATATGCCTTAAACCTGCATAATTCACCTTGGACAATTTTCCATCATCAATCAGTTTCTCTAACTTGTAAACCACGCGCAAATCAGGATTAATTGAGCCGGTGGCTTCAGATACGAATAGTTAAACCAAAAAGAAGTTAAAAAGAGGACAGGGACGACATCTCAAGAAATCTAAATGTAGGATGCACATCCATCTCAATGATATTTGGTCTCATAGATGGTGTTATTGATATGTCAATACTTAATCTGCATAATTCACCTTGGAAATCAGAGAATCCAGTGCTGGTTAAACACTTGTAAACCCACAAAACTCAAGTGTCATTTACCCCAGAAGCTTTACAAAGCCAGCACATTAGCAACTTAAACTAGTAGTAGTAGCCAGCATACTAGCACCTTAAACTAGTTGTGTTCAGGCCAAGCGTAGCACCATAAACTAGTAGTGTTCAAGCTGGCATAGTAGTAGCACCATAAACTAGTTTTCAGGTCAGCGCAGACTAGAGCATCTTAAACAAGTAGTTTTCTCCTCCAAAAGAACAAATTGCAGGCAGCAAAGGTAAAAAGCACGTTCCTTGGACGGCTTTACTAGCAACAAGATTTCTTTTCCTGGAGCAAAAAAAAATGCATAAATGCATACTTCCAAAAAAAGATGAGATGTTCATTGAGATATTAAGTGAAAGTCTGCTTCTTTTCAAAAAGGAGATATTAACACCTCTTCAGGCAAGACTCCACTGTATCTAGAGCCACCTTCTTATACTTCAACATTTCTCATTCGTCCAGATGCAATCAAAAGTCGATCTCTGTTCCTCATTACACGCAGCAAATTACCTGTACCTGTAAGGACCAAGAATTCTTTTACAGGATCTGAGCGATGCAGAAACAGTGTTTCCCACCGCACAGCTGCTGATATTCCAGGTTCAGTGAGCCATAAAATCAAAACCTTCTTCTTTTCAATCTAGAGACATCAAATCCCTCTTCATGCCAAACTTGCCCACTCTGTCTAAAATTACCTTCTTGCTCCTCGACATTTCTCATTCGTCTAGGTAAAGGTCGATCCTTGATATTTGCATCAAATTCTCTTTCCCTAGTGTTATTTCTTTCAACAAATTCTTCATCTGCTACTGGATAGAACCTAAAAGGCCTAGGGCCACCATCTTGGTTGAAACGGAAAGTGTCATTTTCGCTGTTATAAGGACGAAAAGAACGAGCAGGTCCTCCTCGCCTCTCACCATACTTCCTTCTCTCATCAGTACTTCCACCACTACGAAGCTCAGGAAACCTGCCAGTGTGTATCGGCCCATCAAAGTAGTCATCACCATCAGCCCTCTCCCGACGATCTAACATCTCAAGTCTCCTATTGTTTCTTCTAGTAAATACCCGATCAGGTGGACTTCTTCTGATAGAAAGAGACCTTGGATGCCCATGCTCCTGTCCAGCGTCCACATCCCTCATATCATTCAGACGCCGAGCAGTATACGATGGAGAGTCACGCCTTCGAGGAACCATCTCATCGGTAAAAGAAGTTCGTGGGGAAGACCTCATCCTATCTTCCCTGTACATAGCTGGAGACCTGTGCTGAGATGAATCTGGAAGACCATTGAATCCTTCGGCCGGTCTCCTCCGAGGAGATGACCAAGGGCCAGGGGGACGTGTACGGGATCTAGCAGGAGATTTAGACCGCATTCGAGGGAAACCTCTTCTCTGCATCGTGGTAAACTTTGTATTACCCCGAATGAAATGACCATCTGGTCCATCAGAGCCATCTTCACCAGTGCATCTACTTGGGCTGATATTCCTAGGAGCTCTACGAAGCATTTGAATACCCATCATGGCAGCATCTTCTCTTCCATTGGGGGACAGCCGCCGTGCAGGTGGATGCCGAAATGAAGAGAAGGAATCATTTAATGGCTTCCTCCTCCTATTACTAACAAAAGCAGCACCATCGAGTCTATCATAGTCATTACGCTCAATTTCAGATTCCCCAACAGCAGCAGTACGTTTACGTCTAAAACGATAATCAGTACCACCTCCATAGCTTTCAAAATCACGTCCAGAATCCCAATCACTACGCGAACTATCAAACCGGCCCGAACCCCTCCCTCTTCCACGCATGAAGTTCCCCCGTGAGCTGCAAAATGACCGGTCCTCATTCCTATGCCGGACAAATTTAGGACCATCAGCATAAGTTTCATCTCTGGAAAATGCAGGAAGAAAAAGTCATAGTTGAGCAGCATTCAGATACAAAAGAAAAAATTACAAATCAAACAGCAATGAAAAGAAAAAATCACCTATTCTTTCGTAGATGGAATTTCTCCTCCTCTATATCAGAATACCTTTCTCTTCCACTTCTTGAAGGCAGTGACCTACCTGTAATAGTTCTGACATTACTAGGAGATGTCACATTAGATGCACGAGGTAAATTGATAATCCGGCTCTTGCTTCCAACATTTGACAAATCTTTATTAGAGTTAGCATTAATAGATGTTTCAGCATTCTGCAAAGATGAATCAACTGTTGGTGCCATATCAGATCCTCCAATATTCTCGTTATTAGTCTCGCCAACATTTCTGCCAGACCCACTGCTTCCAGCAGGCACTTCGTCACATAAGACATCCTTTTCACATCCCTCCTGCAGATCTGCTATTCCTGATTGATCAACTGGTCCTTGTTGAATAGCACCAATAGGCCTCTGCTCATCAGCTCCTGTTGTTTCCTCTTTATCCAATAATGGACTCTGCAAATTACCGTCTTTATGATCAATTTTGTCAGCTTTCTCATCACAACCTTTCACAATGTCATCATTAGTCTCAGTATGAACTGGCAACATGTTATCTTTTTCATCATAATTGAAGCAGTGAGATTCCTCAACCCCAGAAGAGCCAGCAGAGTGAGCATTTTTGCTATTTTTTTCCGAATCCATCCCCTCAGCAATTGGGTCTTCTGCAATTGACTGCATCATTGGCTCTCGGACCTCACCTTCTTCATATTCCTCATCCTCTCTGCCACACCCCACACTCTCAGCATCAACATGTCCCGCAAAAGCATGATTGCCATCAGATTCGTAATCAGAACCATAACATTCTTCTTCTGTACCAGCTGATATACTTATCTTTTCCTCATCATTTGCCGATCCCACACCACTTGCAACCAACTGATGTGGCTCTCGTGTATCTTCGACATTGATGCCCTCCAACACAGATGGCTCCACTTTACCACTGGACACATTTGATTCTTTGAGGTCAAAGTTTGCATGTTTAGCAGCAATATCAGCATTTGCCTGATCTAGAGCATTTTTATTTCTATTAGCTTCCTCAGTATGAACAGAGTACTCAGATTGAGTAGACAAGTCCCCACTCATCACAGACAAATCTGAACAGGTAGACAATCTAGAAGTGCATCCCTTTTGAGGGGTCAAAGGCATTGGCAGTGTAGACGAAGATGAAGAAGAACTCTCCTGAAGCTGTAAAACCCTTCCAACTGATTGGTGTGCAATCACATCTGACGTCATGGATATTTCCTGACTAACCTCCTGGAGTGCTTCGAATTTCACTGGTTTTTGCTCAAGTAATTTCTGAGGACCCTTAGTCGACACCTCAGTAGGTTGCAGATTCTGCCTCACAACTTCAGGTTTTACTACATTAACATCCAATGTTCCAGCTGGACGACATGCAGTTCCAGCATTGGCTTGTACCAAGGCTTCCTCAACAGGTTCAGACTTAACAGTTTTGCGAGTGGGGGAATTCATGTTACTATTCAATGCCAGATTTTTCAGCAAACTCGAGTTCGGACTAACCCTGCTAGAGTCCACTTTAGCCAATGACTGCAGTATTGGGGAGTCAAACCCTCGTAAAGTACTACCAAGACTAAGAGGAAGCACATCGGCAGACTTGTATGGTAGGCTAGGCTGTATTGATGAGATGGGAAAATTAAATTCCTGCTCACTAGCTCCAACAACTTGTTTCCCTTTATCAACATTAGCACCAACAACAGAAGTAGAACTAATAGAAGGCTTTCTGTCTAGTGAACTAGAAGTCTTATGTAACAGATCAATATGACTAGCATCTTGAACAGGAACATCGTCACCAGAACCCTCCCATGAGTCCATGGGAGTATTCAGATCCCAGTTAGATCTATTAGTGTGTGCAGTATCATCAGAATCATTGTTACTCAATCCATTCTTGCAACTTTTGTCCTGGGAAATGTCCTTCCCTTTATTCAAAGACAGAGAAAGCAATGAAGGATTTACAGTTCCACTCATCAGGCAACTCCGCTCCCTAGTTGGATCAACCAAAGAAGAAACATGTGGTTCCTTTGGGCCTAATGACAGTTCAACATGTCCAGAATAAGCAGGAAGTTCAAGTTTACATTGGCTTTCCCCTTGTTTGGCAACAACTTCCTTCTTGACATTCACTATCTGGCTAGCTAATTTTTTGGCAGAAGCTGGTTTCACTTGATTATCTACATTTCCCGAAGGACCAGAGCTAGTATCAGGGTTTGTTTCCCGAGATATGGTTAAAAATGGTTGCAAAGTAGGCGGAGAGTCAACATTTGCACCAGAAGGATTTTCCTTTTTTACCTCTAGAAGAGTATTCTTGATAGTATCAGATTTACTTGCACTATCACAAGAACTCAAGGTCGAGACCTGGACCAGGCAAGAATCTTTGGTCTTGGATTCACTTTCGTTAGACAAAGAAGATGGCTCAGCACGAGTAGGTGAAGGAGACTGGACCATAGAGTACCACCTCTTCTTAATAGGGATACCTGATGACGAGTTACTGGGCTGCCGGGCAAGAACCCCAGGCTGCAAATACATGACGAAATAGAACGATATTAAAACCAAGCAAGTATTACACAGTTAGACCAATTCAGCAGCAAATCATAAATCAGATCGAGACCTCTTCGTTCCCTGAAACTGGCATGGTTCCAAAATCAGCTAAAGCTTATTTATCTCCAGAAAATCTCACTCAAGTACAAATGTTACAATCAAGTCGTAGAACACATCTGAAACACTAGATCACAGCCCTCTAATAGCACCCTGCAACCAGATATGCCAAAATATTATAATACAAAGGAAGAGAAACAAACAGTCAGAATCATCAAACATACACACACATATCACATTATATACACAAAAGAAAAAGGCAAGACATTGGTGATATCAAGTGCAAATCCAGATGACGAAGGGAAAAAAGTAAGCATCTGAACCTCATAAACACTAAGAAGTAAACAGGAATGACCAAAATAATGTAACAAATAGTTACTCCATCTATTAACAACTAGCAGGTTTTGACCATCAAAACCCTCAATATTTTTTTAGGATGGCGGTGTACGGGCCAGCTTAAGCACATCTCGACTATTCCACCAATACCTATTGCCTTCCGCAAGCACAAGTACCAGTCAACTCTGACCACCAAAACTTAAGCTCAGGCAGATGGGAAGAAATCACCAAAAATCCAAAAATCCGAATATCACCCACAAATTCCAATCTAGTTACAACTTAGCCAGACACAAAAATATAAAATCCCAGAAATACCCTCTCTATCCTTTGGTGCCATGGGATAAAATTACGAAGATTTTCTAGCTCTAAATTTTTTCAAGACCTAGTTCTATCTGAATCGGATAATCTGATCATAAAGGAAACAAATCAATCTCTAAAATACAACACAAAACACCAACATTTATTTGATTCATAACAGTAAAATAGTCAAAATCTAATCCCAAAAACCTCCCATATATAACCAAAGAAAAAGCATATTCATCACTCATCAGATCCAAATTTCAGGGAAACAATCCATAAAACCCGAAAAATTCAAGCATCAAAAACAAATTTTCACCTGTCAAAAATTCAATCATACGCCCAAATTAAAGCACAAAGATAAAAACGAGAACCTTCGCTGATGTTAGACAGCAAAAGAGAGTATAATGAAGGAGGAAAAAAGAGTGAAAAATAGAGGGGAAAAGGGGAGAAAGACTTTTGGTGGTGAGTTTTTTCGTACTATTTGATAGATAGATTGGAATTGGAATTGGTGTTGTTGTTGGTTAGGGTTTTGTGGACTTTTCAATAATTGCAATAACTTCCTTTATTTAAAGGCCCTTTATTTTCTCTCTATCTATCATTTTCGTTTCCCTGATTTTTTATTAATGTCACTTTTGACTTGCTTTTCCTTAATACAATAATTGAAGAAGTTGTAGTGTAGGTGGCATCCCATGTTTGCTCCATAGACTTTACATTTGCTTGCAAATTACATCAGAATCTGGAATAAAGATTGCTTCAAACTTTATCATCAACCATTAAGTGTAAGGGCTTGTTGGGTACCAGAGATAAGGAATAATTAATTTTGGGACTAAATTTAAGATGAGTTTATCTCATATTAAGTTCGTATAAAATCATGGTATAACTAATTCCTAAATTAATTATCCCAAAATTATAATATTTTTTTATTCCTATGGAAGGGTGAGATAACTATTTTCAGTATAATTAATCATGGAATAACTTATTTCCCAAGGAAATGATCCCTAAATAATTTATAGTGTGAACATATATGCATATGTAGAGAATCTGGAAGTAAGATTGCTCCCAACTTTATCATAAACCATTAACTTTTGAGTGAATTTATAAATATAAAAAAATACTTATCTGGATTATGTTTATGTATCAAACTATATTATCATAGTTAAGTAATAAATATGTTAAAATAATTAGTAAAATCTATAGTTAAGTAGTCAAATTTAAGTAAAAAGAGTATCATATACTTATTGGTTTAATATATGTGTCAGATACGTGTAAATAGTTTTTGAACTTGTAATGTAATCATGACTAAAGTTAAAATATTCGTCTGAAAAAAGTACACATATCATAAGTTAATTAGTTAGTTTTTTCCTCTAACATATCTCACCTCTTTACCAACATAAAATATAGAGAAATATATATTTTTAGCCACTCCAAAATTAATAGCCAACAAGATAGATATATATATATAAAATATACGTATATTATATATTTTTCGGCTAGCGAATACAATTAGTTTCGCCGGATCAATTTTGTATTTTGTTCTAAAATATAAAAGACACATAAGAAGATAAGATCAAAACATGGGAGATTTTTTAGAGGTCTACAATTTCTGGTGGACCCAATCTACTGGAAACAGCTAAGTAATTGAACTTTGAGTTGAATTGTTCAACCTTTCTGGTGGGCGTATACTTTTCTTTGTCCTTTTTCTCGCTGGTGGGATTATTCAGCTCTTATTTTGTTTGGTGCGATCGTGACAGGATCTCCACATTTATTGCGTTATTGCTAATTTAGCCCTTTCTCATTTCTTGTTTTGGAAAGGGACGCCTCAATTTAAGGCCTAGTTCCATCCAGCTGTTCCAAAGAGCAAATGATTACCAGTGGATGACCTCTAAAACAACTCATTAATTAGTCATTAGTGTTTTAAAAGGCATAATGCAGAAGTATCGATTCCCCTCATCAACAAACTCCTTAGTCAAAGCTTGTTATACCGAACTTGCCTAATGCGATTTACATCTCATGTGTGATTTGCGAACTATTGCACAGTGAACAGATTCCCCTCATCAACAAACTCCTTAGTCAAAGCTCGTTATACCGAACTTGCCTAATACGATTTACATCTCATGTGTGATTTGCGAGCTATTGCACAGTGAACAGATTACCCAGTGCGCACCCGAAGGATAGCGACTGCATGTTACCCGTAAATTTTCCAAAAAAAAAGAGCAATGTTCAAACTAACTTGTGCACACGTTGACTGTTTTAGCGACGTGCTACTTTTCATCGTAGCTGTGTTCATCAAAGCTAGGCGGATGGAAAGGGAATACCATATGGAAACTTGAACTAAGACCTTTTATAGTTTTCACATACTTTATTGACTGATAGACCACACCGTTAGGTGCCAGGGGTATGCCACTGAGCAAGCGTGAACAGGTACTTTCCTGCTCAATATATGCAAATACACTTGAGATGTCCTACTAATTGAAACTGAGCAAGGCAAGGGAGCGGGGCGAGGGGGAGGTAATAGCATACTGTACTACTATAGGGATACTTCTCAGAGACCAATTTTCCTGGAGAGCATGCTCTCATGTAAAATACGTGCAACTAACTGATATGATGTACAAGTCAAACCTTAAAGTTTTAACATCCTCATAAATTTTTTTGCTCACACAAGGATTAAGAACTTGGTGATTTCCATATATACAGCAGTCCCCTAAACATGAATTCATGGGCACCGGAAAGCTCCCAGAGCAAGTTTCTTGCTTGGGAGTTGATCCCTACCTACGATCTTGGTGATTGACAGTCCCATGAAAAACAGAAACTCATGAAATGTAAGCCTTAATCAGCTGTGTGTAGTTGCAGGTGAAGCCTGTCCTGGGACACGTGATTCTGCCATCATTCCTCTTGGCCATCTCTTCAAGTGCCTGCCATCACATAGATGTAAGTCACATTGTCACTGAAGGAAGCACAAACACGTAAGCAACTACACACAAACCTTGGTGCTATAGACATAGCCATTAGGCAAGACAAGGGGTGGATTTTCAGTATCCATCAGCTCTTTGGTTATGTAGCAAACTAGCTTCGAGTGATGCTGCTTTGAATATGGTAGTGGCGTCGCTAATTTACGAAAGCTCTCCTGTGATAAAGGATCCTCCTTTGTGCAATCATCTTCGTAACAGAATCTATAGATTTGGTCAAGGAGAAGTCATGGAGCAGATAAATTTATAATTTTCCTTTGGTTCCTCTTTTTCTTTTCCCAATGACCACATGGAACTTTGGCCATGGGGGGAGAGGGAGCTTGAAGTAGTGCAAAGTAATGAAAAGAAGCGCACAGAATCTCAATTACTAAAAGAAAATATCAGTAGTTAGTAAATCTGAAAATCATTACCAGCTGAGATTATTCCTAGTTCCCCCATGTAAAAGCATATAAAGAAGACCGGCCAGATTATTCTGTCACTATGTAATTGATTTATATTAATTTGATTCTTAATAGTAAAATACCAGTCTGTGTAGTGATCATTTGTAAGCAAAAAAATTCCTAGCAACCAATTGTTTGTTGTGGATACGGAGTTTTCAATGCAGACAACCCTGCTTGGAGATATATATTCAGCAAAGGCTCGAGAGTCATGCCATATAACTTGCAGAACTCCTGTTTGAATTGATCAATTAAGTAATCCCACTGCTTTGGTTCAAATAAAGCCTGTAACAGAAACTGACAATTGTCAAATAATTCTACATAGATGGAAAATCAGCTTTTACTGCTTTTATTCTACTCAAACTTGATTCTTCATATACCGCAGACATCCATCTCACAAAGCCGTGAAGAAACACAAGACCAAGGAGGGAAAGCGAAATCAAACTGACATCAACAAGATACAATCAAATCAAGATAAAGGCAGGTAAAAAATCACCCTTGAATCAAGAAGAATTTCCATACATGATAACTGAGAGTTCCAAAATTGATGCCTAAATACATTTTTTCTTTTTATAGGTAAATCAATGCCAAAGTATTGCATTGCCATCACTAAAACACTTGAATAACACAATAACAAAAATAGTACACATTACTCTTCATGTTCATTTTCCTCTTGTTTTCCTTTCAATGTTTTCCGACTGAACTACTTACTTTTGTGTTTTTTGAATACACGCAAAAGCATACATGGACCAAGTCATATACATACTTAAATGTATAACATATAGAGCACAAACTTATACTCCGTCCAGTAATGAGTCAGAAAGTTGAACTATTTTACAATAATGCTTGAAAGCATTGAAGGTGAAAGAGTCACACCAAATTGAAGAAGTGACTGAAGTATTTTAAACTCTCATAAACGTTTCGACATAAAAGTGCAAATAAACACTTGATTTCAAATATGCAGAAAGCTAGCACGATAGACCATAACCTTGTATGTTGCACATTCGGTATTACTCTTGAAAGCAAGTGTCGCCAAGACCCGCTGCAACTCTTTCATATGGGTAGAACCCCAAGGTGCAAGATATTTCCGAGCATATGTAATGGCCCGCATCATGTTTTCAGCTCTTACCAACTCTATGAACTCTTGCAGTCTCAGCTGGAACTCAAATTTGCTCTGTCAATAAGAGAAGCAATCAGCATATTGTATTTGCAGCACAATGTTCCAAATTGTAGCACTACTTCTACCAAATCCTAAGAAAGCACTGACCCAAAGATATAACTACAAATTGGGGTTGAAAATAAGTACGCCCTGTCTCAAAATGTCTGACGTGTTCCGCTTCAAAAGATTAAAACCAAGTAAAACGTATTCTTTCACCATTTTGATACGAGAATAAATTGCAATTTATTTATCCTTCTGTAAAGCTTTAGTATCTAAATTTTAATAATAGTTCGTTTAGCTTCAAAAATTGGTCAAATTGATCATCAATAAAGCAAAACATGTAGAATAAATTGGCACAAGGGGAGTAGTTATACACGCAGATACTTAGTTTTTGCTCAGTGATATATTATTTGTGACAACATTCTGCAGTAGCCATCCAATCACTATCCACTAACAGTGCGCAATTTAGTGATTCATAGGACCTAGTCAATTAGAAAGGTCACTTTCACGACCACTTATCCCTTTTTTGGAAAAGTTTCACGATGATTTATCCTTCTGACGTGCAAAACTTTAATGAAACTTGGTACAAAAGGAAGAGCAAACTTTGAGGATACATCTGACTTTTCATTTCAAAGTATCCAGAGTTCAGACATAAGACATTGCATGAACATGGTTCTCTGAAGCAACTTCATCCAATAAAAAGGGGCTGACTTTCAGCATTTCAAGCTCACAGCTCATCCACCTCTATATCCAGGATAATGTAGCCATAGTCAAACAGCTATCCAGTTACACCTCAATAAAATGAATCCCAAGTATTTAAACCAGTACATCCTATAATCATTGAATGACAGGCGGGAAAATAATACGGGCTCCGTATTATTCAACCAGTCAATTAAGACAAAGACAGGATTCACCAACTGCAGTCACGCTTTGCCCTACTATCCAATGGCTATTGGTATTATAACTATAATGGG